GAGGCCCACGCGCAGTATTTACGCATGGCCTTCAAGGATCCAAGGGCTGGCAAGAGCAGGGGAAAGTGGTCATCTGGTGGAGCAGGGAAATCCACGGAGACAGCGTAACACCGGAGCGCAGAGAAAGGGACATCTGCCAAAGTCATAGGCACAAGAGTCACACCCTCAAGCTTCCAACGCTGACGCCACGTTGTGTCAACCCTCCCGAAATGCAGGGCATGTGCCGCAGGAGCGGGGCACCGCAGAAGCGGGCAACGGAGGCAAGGGCTAAATGACGGCACAGGCGCAAGAACCTCGAGTTGTTTGCCTGCGAGACGCGTGCAGAGGTGCTCAGGAGTAAGCACTAGCAGGACGTCAGCAGCCATTTGTCGAATACCGTCGTTCTGTAGCTCCCGCATCCACCCCGTCACAGTGTGGCGCAAGACAGGAAGGGGGGCAATATGGGACACGACCTCATCATAGATTTCCTGATCGGAGTTGAAGACAGTGCTTTGCAAGGCCAATCGCAATGGTCGACAGAACTCCTCCTCCTCAGGTGGGAGGTGTGCACAGCCCCAGCCTTGGACAGCGGGGGCTTGCAGGTGACCACTACCAGGCATGGTCGCGCCTTCGGGAGAATCTTGTGATTCAAGAAACTGCAAGCACCGCCTGGAGGCGAGAAGGTGGCATCGAAGGCGCCCCTGCGTGGCGTACAGTGAACCACACGCACGACATTGGCGTCCTGTTGCCAAGCGGGTGGCTGGGTGGCGATAGCCGTGGACCCTCTGCGAGTGTGCACCCCATTGCTGCCTAGAGGCGAAGGCGAGCCCACAGATGAGACAGCCATGTTGCAAATCTGATAAATCAGAGGGCGACGCGGGGGCGAGCGGTTCCCAGACCTGCCTAACAATATAGTCAAATCTGGCCTGGAGATCGTGCCGGCAACCGTACCAGGCCTCCGCACGCTTGAGAAGGCCTTTCCATTTTCCAGGACTATCACGCATGAGGGACGCCCATCGCTCCCAGTTGTGTTCAATGGGACCAAGGGTGGCTGCTGTGCCGCCAGTCTGCAGGAGCCAGGCACCGGCAGATCTGACAGCACGTTGGTAATCTGTGTACCAGCCGAGCAAGGCCCATAGCTCATCCGGGCCATGTCGGACAAGCTGGCCTAGGAATCGAAGCCTCTCAACGTGAAGAATAGTGTCCGCTGCCGGCAACCCAGTAGATGCAAGGATCTGGGAGACAGTGAGATTCCAATTCCCCTGGGCCCTGAGTCCCATGAGTTGGCGGTACAGGCCTAAAAGACCGCCAGAAAAGAGAATCCAATCACACTCGCCTAAAGCAGGCCAGCTCCCAATCCCTGCAGTGAGGGTCGACAGGACATGGGTTTTGAAAAAGATAGCACGCCGGCTCAGGGGAACGTCCTTGCACGCGAACAATCGGCGGCGCCCATCTCTGAACGCATTGCGAGCAAGGGCCAGTCGATGTTTGACATCCGCACGCAAAGAGCCGTCGTAGGCCACAACCGCCCCGAGGTGACGATATCGAGCTACCAAGTCCAACCACATGAGGCCTTTTCCCTCAGGCAGAATCGGTGCTCGACCCTTCAGCACTCCGAAGGACTCGTGTCTGGCCGCACGTGACCCCACCCCAGTATGAGCCATGATCGCGGCTGTCTTAGTGGGGCCTAAGTTGACGCGGAGGGCATGCGGGGTGAGTGTGTCGAACGTGTCTGCCGCAACTGCAGAGACCACGCTCCTGAGATTGGATGCCTTATCACAGACGACCGGGATGCAGAGGTCGTCTGCGTACACGATGTCAGGAATGTCTTTCGCTGAGGAGCTTCCCTCAAGATGTCGGGGAAAAGGGGAGCGATGACCGCCCCAGGGCACAGAGGGAACTGCAGAGCGGAGGGAACTGGACTTTCGTCTGCGCAGCGCCTGCCCAAACAACAGATTAAACATGATGTCTGCAAGTGTTCCACCCGGGCGGGTGCCACGGAATGTTGAAATCAAATGCGTATCGCCGTGCAGCACGAACCATGTCTGTTGATGGAACTCCTGGGCAAGCTCGCGCATAAGCACGGGGGCATCCTGCTGCTGAAGTATGGCCTCATTTTCTATCAAATGCGTGAGTGCTTGGAGATCATCCCGGTCAAGACCCAGCGCCTCCGCTATTTCGTGCACCGGGCGCGAGGAAAGATCCTTGCCAAACAGCGTCTCCCTGATCACCGCATAGTACGCGGCAGACAGGTCAATGAAGATGAGCGCTGCTGACAGCCCGGTCCTCCTTGCGAAGTGCAGCATTGCGCGTGAGCACAAGTGGCCAAAAGAAGCACTGCAGCCTGATCTGCCCCCGATCTGGAGCGGAAGTGCGGTATTCTGCCAGTGCTGCACCACCAGACCTCTCAGGGATCGGTGAAAGGCCTTTGCTACAGCCGATTGCACGAGGATTCCTCGGTGAGCATCGCAGGTATGGGGAGACTTGGGATTAGGTTTCCCAATGTGGTGCAGAGTGCCTCCCTTGAGTCCGGCTGCTTCGGCCGCCCCACACACCGTTTTGAGAAGGAGTGGCCAAAGAAGAGTAGTAAGTTGAGGGCTGAAGCGCTTGCATAGCATCGGGGGCAAAAGATCTGGACCTGCCGCCTTTCGACCCGCTGTATGGCGAAGAGCAGCTTCAAGACCGAGCCACGTGGGCATGTGCGCCGCATCAACTGTATCGCTGCCTTCAAACCTGGCCTGGGACTGGCGGCAGAGGTCAAGTAGTTCCGCAGGAGACGAGTCAAGACCGCCTTCAAGCACCCGGAAGTGCTCGCGCCAAGTAGTCGTAATCTCAGTCTGGGTCATACATTGACTTCCGTCTGTCCGATAGAGAGTC